CACCTCGATCGAATTCTCAGGCCGCATTACGTCCTGGTAATCCAACACCCAGACGTGAGTCGAAGACACGTGATCACTACTCTCAGTATCTACGTGCCGAGGTTCGAAAAGAAACGCGTCGACGTTGCTCCGCCCTCGAAAGACATCACTATTAGACGTGTCTTTGAAAATATCGTCAAGAAACCTGAATTTGCGACGAAGGCAAGGATACTCGTTGGGACGGTTGAAGGTACACCATCCGGTTGGATTTTATCGTTTCAACTGCAGTAAAGACTGGATAAGTGCAGGAAAATCGGCACCCAAACATTGCAGTTATCCAATCGAGGTTTCTATTCTGTGTTTGCATTTGGCTCGGGTAGAGCGTGGAACGTAGAAAAGGACAGAGAGTGAAAGAGAAAGAGAGGTCCGAGGAAAAAAAACAGTCGGCCGAAACGTATCGGTGAGACAATAGTACTGTAGGCTCACCGATATCTCGGTTAGGATTATATTGCACTGATGGACATAATTCACGTTGGACGTAGCAAAGGGCAGAGAGTAAAAGAAAGAGAGGTCCGAGGAAAAAAAGCAGTCGGCCGAAACGTATCGGTGAGACAATAGTACCATAGTCTCACCGCTGTGAACCCTTGAAATTATATTAACTCTAACAATTTTTAATGCGAAATTTTAAATTGAAAAAAAGAATGCCATGTGGGCTAAACCGAATGGTTCAAGTAGTTTGATTAAACGAACTGGCAACTGGCGCAACTCGACGGAATGTTTGAACGCACAGGTGACTTTGGATGCGTGACGTGGGAAGGATTCGAGTTCACCACCGACATGGCTATCAACAGCGAGACGTGCAGCTGGTCCTGGTACAACAAAGTTCACGATGGGCCCATAACTCACGCGATTAGGTGCAAGAGTAACAAGAACATCGTCGCCACGGTGGGTGGGAAGGTATTTTGCGTTTGGAGGAACGATTTCGATACACCACTGATATCGAAGAAGTCGAACGTTGGGTACGAATTTATTTATTCAATGCAAGCCTAGTATGTGATAATTGTTCCATACCTATTAGTATAACAATGTTGTAACTAGGCTGCGGATTTTATGCATTCATGACGTACAATAATTTATAGAACATACATAAAATATACGTAATGTATATCGAATGTGTTCTATAATTATTATAATAATATTGTTATTTCATTTTGCATAAGTGTACATATCTTTTGGTTTTTGGCCCAATTACTATCTCCAGCGAGCAAATGTTTAATACGCACAGGTACACAGCGTTTTCTTGGGGCAGCTTCCGTTCCACGATCGTGATTCTGTCGCGAATGGATGGAAGCGTCGAAATCTGGGACTTCATGATCAAAAGCGAGGAGCCCTGTATCGTTCAGAGTTTGTCTGGACGATTAATCACGGGAGTCTACACCCACGAGTTGTACTTGGACCCTCAGTGCGTTGGAATCTGCGATTTCAATGGCACCTTCCGAGTATTTCTGGCTCCGGTAATTTTCCTCGCGCACGACAAGACCAACGAGCAGTGGATGAACAACTACATCGAACGACAATACCAAAGAGTAAACTTCATTCGCGTGAGACAATACCAAATAGCGAACATATTCGAAAGACGAAGCTCCTTTTAGATGAGGTACAAGGAACCTTCGTTTCAGATAAAGATATGCAAAAGCTGGCAGAACGCGTGGACAAAGGCGCACAGCGACAGCATCAAACAGAAACAAATGCTGGCGCAGCACATCGCAGAGATGAAGCAACTAGAAGAAGAGAAAGCCAGAACTAGGATAGCAGTGACGGAAACAGCCGAGACGGAAGCTAAGCAAAAGCCTCCAGTACTTGTCTTTTCGTGAATTTGTTGCAACTGTGTACATTAACCCTTTCGACCCTAATGGGACATACAGGGTGTCCCAAAAATGTTAGAGGTCCTTGAAAGGGTTGATTCAGGAAGTGATTTGAAACAATTTTTTCCTTAGCGAAAATGTAGTCCGAGGCTTCGTTACGGAGATATCGACAGAGAACCCCGACCAATCAGAGCGCGAGTGCGCCAATGGAGCGACCACAGTGGCGTAGGCTACGCTCTAGTCGGCCGCGCTCTGATTGGTCGGGGTTTTCCGTTAAAAATTTATTATGCAGGTGAAATGATAGCGAGAATAAATCTGGACAGGTTTCTAGAATTTAGCGACGTTAAAAAGTTAAATACTACACCAAACGTTGAATTACACGGGGTGTCCCAAAAATGATGGAGGTCCTTGAAAGGGTTGATTCAGGAGGTGATTTGAAACAATTTTTTCCTTAGCGAAAATGTTGTCCGAGGCTTCGTTGAGGAGATATTAACAGAACAACCCCGACCAATTAGAGCGTTGGAGCGCCGACAGTGGCGTAGACTACTCGCGCTCTGATTGGTCGAGGTTGTTCTGTTAATATCTCCTCAACGAAGCCTCGGACAACATTTTCGCTAAGGAAAAAGTTGTTTCAAATCACCTCCCGGATCAACCCTTTCAAGGACCTCTAACATTTTCCAGACTCCCTCGTATAGTTTTCAATAATCTCGACGGAAAATTTTCTAGGAATTTTCACGAGTTTTCGAACGGCAGCAAACGCAAATTTAAATCTACGTTTGCACCAATTTTTATGAAGTTTCAGCTTCGACTGCCTTTCATTTCTCTCACAGTACATTCCACCAAATGATTTCTTACATCTCTTGGAATTTCCAGCAAAAATCGCGCCGCAGTCAAAGGGTTAATTTCTGAATGAAAAAGGAACAGAATCCAAATGGAAAACAAACGGGTCGAAAGGGTTAAGTGACGATGTTTGAAGCCACGGATATATTCGATAGATTCTAATACGTCGCACACGTCTAATGCTGCACGCAGAAACCATGGGAGATCATCGAAGCGGCGCGCGAAAGATGGAAGGAAATGGAACTGAAGCGCATGCAGCAAGTGATCCTGGAGAAAAAAGGGCTGCGAAAGGACGAACTCGAAAGGCAGCGCGAGCCCATATTGAGAATGCGACATGAGGCGAGGAGGAAGAAGAACAGGCTACAGGAGACGTTGGACATGCAGGAAGAAATTTTCGAACACTCCGTGAACCTGTTCTTCCCTAAACGCGAACCGGAAGGCAAACGGGTCTCGCTGACTTCTGCCATGGAACTTCACGCCAAGCAAACGAAAAAGGATCGTTTGGCGGACACCATATTGCAACAGGAAGTTCTACAAGTGAGCAAACAAGTAAAATAAAGAGTCAAACAGGAACACGAAAAGTAGAGCGCGGGATCGGTCGCGTAGGTAAAGCGATCGACTGTGGATCCGAGGATCGTGGGTTCTTCGAATCTCCGTGCCCTTGTTTTTCGTTTAGATTCCTAGAATACAATTTTCTCGAAAGGAATTTTAAGTTCTAATTTGTATCACTCAAAAGGGTGTGGATATCATCGACCCGGACGAAGAAATCGTTCAAAAATTTATGGAGACGGAAGCAGAAGCGTTGGCTTACTTGCAACAAAATCCATTCGTGCACACGTTCAATTGGCGAAAGGTACTGGACGAAGGGAAAGCGAGGCGGTATTCGATGGATTACAAGTTACACAGAGTTCCGAAATTGAGAAGAAAATCGATTAATTCTACGTAAAAAAAAAACTACAATCTTTTAATAAAAAACAACCATTGTTATTCATATAAATGATGACGACACGCTTCAATTAAGCCAAATTAATTTAATTACGTAAACTACGTTGTATAATAGCAAAGAACGAAAAATAGGCGTGTGAAACCATCGATGTGTGCAATCATAATTGTGCAATATCAGAGGATTACTGATCGAATGCGGCTTTTCCTTATTGCATCACTAACGCGATATCTTCAGGTTGAAGATCATTGATGAAGAAATTGCTAATACTGTCAAGAAAAGTACAGATTATTATTAATTACGTGCAGAAGTGAATCTATTGGGCTGTCTGGAAAGTCCATGGCGATTTTTAGTAAGCGGTACAGGTCTGAATATATCGGAATGGCTGAAAACAAATAAAATGTGTACATTCCTCAACAGGTGGAAAGGTTGTGGAACAAAATGGTACATATATAATTCAATAAATATACATCGAAATTCAAATATGCCTTTGAATTTTTCTTAAATATCGGCATGAACTTTCCGGACACCCCAATATTATTTTACGAAAATTAATCTGGACTAATGAGCCTAGCCTCGACGAAACTCGAGAACAATTCGAGAACCACTCAGCCTGCACTATATTAACCCTTTGCACTCGAGAGGTGACTCTCAGTCACCATTACGTTTCACGCAGCAAATCTACAATACCTAATCTACGATACCTTTCTTTAGGTTTAATTTCTTTAGGTTTAATTTCTTTCGAGCTCGAATTCTCAGATTCTTATTCTCAGATCTAGATAGCTTAGAATTCATGGCAATAGAACGCTAAGAAACATCTCTCGAGTTGCTGGCAGATACCAGAAAAAAGGACCTCGAGTGCAAAGGTTTAATTGTCCAAATGAGCTTGAATACAAATTACTATTTTTTATGCGACTAAATTGGTACAGTTCCATGTCAGGTGCGCGACAACGTCCTTCCAGCCTCCTGAAGGCCACCAGTTACAGTCTGCATACTATTTTTTTTTTTATGCGATCACCTGACAAGAGATATCAAGGTGATCCTGTTAGCGATCGGCCAACCTGTTCGAGAGGACTCGTAGATTTTCTAAGTGAAATCGCGGTTCAAGTTCAAGATTTACTAGTTCATTAATCCATCAGTTCGAGTCTTTTATTTATAGAGCTCAAAGGCAGCAATGATACTCGCTTTATTCGCGACGTAGTTGTTCGTAACCACTTTACAGAAATGGCGAGTAGAGATACACGCACTTCGCATACATAGATAGAACGGGCTCGTATAAGCGGAACATTGGCCAGCACGTAGCCAGTCGGTCAGTAGTCGTGATATCGTTGATACCTGTATTTCTATGGTAAGTTCCTTTCACTTTCTACGTAGTTCAATCAAGGTTGAAGTTCTCCGTCTATGGAGAGACATCTGCGTCCTATACTCGTAATTATTTTTAAAACGCAAAATAACGAATACCTTATTTATCCGTTTCTAAAGAATTTATTCGTAAGCTTTTTAATCCCAGTGCCATTGCTAACGAATAAATTGTTGACTTCTATTGTTTATTCTTTATAGTTGGATACAGTAGCTTGACTCAATTACTTAGTTTGATTTAATTACTTAATTAAGATCGACGTAAGCATAACGAAGAGTAACTGATATAATCGCACTTGTATACTTTTATTCGAGTACGTTTTTTAACGTAACACTGTTAGGTGATTGATTTTATTATTCTTACCTGTTACAGCATCCATGATGAATCGATTTACGATACTGATCCTGAGCGTTGCGAGCATCGGTGTCGCGCAGGTGAGCATAAATATTAAAGTCGAAAAACGTTTGCTTCGTTTCAATTCGATTGGAAAATAGTTAATGCGTATAAGGAATGTTTTTGGAAAAAGTGATTGCAAAAGCGAAAACAAATTCTTCGGTGATAAATGTAGAACCGCTATTCGACTTTGAACTATTTTAAAACCGTTTCGAAGATGGTTCGGATTCCATATTAACGCCATTGTTTAAAAGGAACTTGTTATAAATGATGAGACGATAAATATTGATTTAATTTATTTAATAATCGTTAATAAGATTTAATAAATATGACTGTTACAAACGTATCAATGGTTCGATTAATACAATTGTTTAACGCAATCTGTTAACAAAAGTGTACCGCAGATGCGGATCCACGTATGCTATGCGGAATTGTCCAACTAATGCCTCATCAAGCGAACGGTCCAAACGTAACTGGACAACTCACCATCGTTCAAGATAACTACAACAGTCCCGTAAGAATCACTGGCAGAATACAAGGTCTTCCTGAAGGATTACATGGTTTCCACGTTCACGAAAAAGGAGATTTGAGAGATGGTTGTACATCGGCCGGCCCACATTTCAATCCCGAAAAAGTAAGCTATCAAATTTATCGGGAAATGTTACCTTATAAATAATATAATAAATACCCGCGTTCAAGTGACAATTTTTACCTTGGAAAGGAAAAGCAATCCTCGCTGATCACTAGACTACGAATCTTTAGGCAACATAAATCCTTAGCAAACGTATCAATGAAAACTGGATCTAGTAATAAACTTACTTTACTCTGCAAACGTAATATAAACTTTACATTCGGTACTTCTTTACATTGTTGCATACTGTATGCACCTTGTAGTTTCTTGCACATTCAAATTTCTTATAAATGCATAAAGTCCGCAGTCTGCCGATTACATTATACTATACGATAAATGTAATTTATTTATTAACCCAAATTTTAGTATAAATTTAAATTTCCATGGTCTTGGTTCGAATAATCTCCAATAATTCACCGGCAATAAATACAAAACGCAATTCATCGAAATCGATAGAAATTGTTCTTTATTAGGACATTGTAAAAGCATAGCCTCTTTATGTTTGCATTCAGGTTGCTCACGGTGCGCCTGACAGTCCACTTAGACACGTTGGTGACCTAGGCAATATCCGAGCAGGCAGTGATGGAATTGTGGATGTGGATATCACCGATCATAAGATTGCTTTGTTTGGAATGAACAATATTTTAGGACGCGCTATCGTTGTCCATTCCGATGAAGACGATTTGGGGAAAGGTCAAAGTCCACTCTCCCGGACCACTGGAAACGCGGGTTCTCGTTTGGCATGCGGCGTTGTTGGCGTCCTTTCGGCATAAACGTTTACACGGTGCATCGTACTCGTACATCTGTATATTTTTATTAAATCTTTGCAGATAAAATTGGTATTTGTAGAACGCTCTCGTGTTACTTCCTTCAACGTCACCAGGCCTAGATGATCTCCCTTTAGACGATCCTCTGATAAAAAACTGAACTACAAAGCATTATGCAGACACGAGAAGAGAAAAATTGCAGATGGATTTTCTCGATGCAACCTTAAAAAAGATTTAATTTCCCAAAATCAAGTTCTATCGCGCTCATCCGGGTTGCTCCTGTTTCATACAAGAATCGAATGAATATTGCAAATGACCAGTGTTACTGGAAGAAAATTGCATCTGTGTCAAATCCTGTTCGGACTGCAGGCAAGGTTCGAATTCCATTTGCTGAATATGTTCCATCTCTGCTTGGTGAACTATCTTTGATATTTCTGACTTTACTTTCACTTGAAGCATGGGTGAAAATCCTCTGACTGTTTCTGCGACTGCTTCGAAGTACTTCATCAAAGCATCGCAAGATAGAGCTTGTCTGTTTGAAAAATTGTGCATGTATGTCGCAGCGTTAGCTGTCTCTGATTTCCTGAATGTATACCTTGAATTCTGGATCGGTGAATGAGAAGCAGAAGCATGATTTAATGATAACGGTGGTGACGCAGCAGTATCTAATGGCAAAGGTGACGAAGAAGTATTTTCTGGATCTATATCCTGTGTAATTTCTTCAGGAAGCGGTGAACTAGTCCTACGATGCATTCCCAGATTCCTGTTGCGAATAAACTGATTTGTTTTCGTCAGGCCAAGAAACGGATTCAGGAATTCCATCTCTGCTTCGTATTTCCATGGTTTAGACGTGAAATTACCATGCGCAAGTTTCAATCTTCTGGTCTTTCGAGACTTCATGTAGAGATCCCTCAGATAACCCCACCTTGCTTTACATCTTTTACCTGAAAGCAATAATTTCGTTGTGATTGTTCACGTAAATACTGAAAATATTTTACCAAAAACTTTTTAAAGTAGTAAAATATATAACGTAAAATATATAAAATATATAACTTTTAATCAATCGGTTTTATGTTAAAATGGATTAGGATTGATAATTCATACACGAAATTGATTAAACGTAATACATTTTATGTACGTGATCTGATGGGGCCCATAGTTCACTAACGACGCCACTGTTTTAAGACCATAGTTATTTATCCGAAATTTATTTACTATCGAAACTATTTAATCGGTTGAGTGATTTACTCTGATTTACACTGAACTCGTTTATTTACCTGCTACTCCCATTTTCGCTCCAATTTTCTCCCATATATTATCTCGCATTAGTAGATTGTAGTAATCGGTGGCATTATTATCATAAAGCGCATCTTGCTCCTTCACATTTAAAATTAGTTCCTTGTCGTCCATCGCTTCCAGCTGCTACATGTAACACAGCTACTCTTTTGTAAAATAAATTTATGAACAAAACTATAAATCACGATACGAACGATTATAAAACGTAACACTCGAGATAAAAAACCGAATGTTCGGTCTGTGCTGCACTCGAACTGAATCCTCGATTCGGTTCGGTTAGTTATACACTAGTAACCTAAACTATTTTTAGATTCTCTCGTTTCGTCTCGTCTCGTTTCGGTTCGGAAGCGTTCGTCTCGGTTCGGAAGTGTTCGACTCACTCTAACACGTAACTTCGATTACCGAGAGAAAGTTCTTTCTTTGCAGACGAAGATTTTGTATGCATTCTAAATTGTGTTCGAATTTTCACTATAATTCGCGTTGTAATTAATCACGCTTATCCATTTCACAATTATTTCTTTTTAAATATAATAATTCGAATTTATAATATTATGCTACAAAGTTCCTGCGCGTGACAATACTTGTTAGGAAACAAATCTGTAAATGGAATTTAGATACAATCTTCAAGAACTTCAAACTGAATTTGAATTCGCGCGCCAATTCCCATAAAGTGACGGCCAGCGCTACAATTATTAAAACCGTAATTCATTTCAAACGAAGGCTCATGAACATTTTTCACATTTCCTTTCTTTTTTTATATAATACTTTTTCATTTAACTCATTTGTTTTTGGTAGACAATGAATGTGAACATGTTCATTTGTAACACTTGTTTCATCACATTTGAGAGAATACAGAAACCATTATGTTTAACGCAATGCGGCCACATATTCTGTCAGAGATGTATAGTACAAGGTAAGGACGAAAGAATTTTTAAATACATTTCGATAAACAATAATCTTTCTTAATGTAGCAGAGAAACAGTGTCCTCGATGCCACCAAATTAATATCGGTTTTATGGAATTACAAGAGTCATCGTTAACTGGAGTAGAAAATCTTTTTTCTCCTGTAGCTGAATCTCTGAGGTCATTGGCCAACACATGCGAATTTCAAACTAATCAAGAGAAAATCACTCTTCAGCGTTTTCACGATATTGTGAGTCCCTCTAATCTCTGTACATTCTCCTAGAAAATTGTCTAATCACATAATTAAATTCAAGGACAAGAAATATGAAATGTTGAAGACCTGTTGTTATAATATGAATCAAGCTATAAAAGCACTCAAAGACAAGTATATTAAACTTAAAATGGACACAGCTGAGAAACGTAAGGAACTTATGTCTATTGAAATGCATAATAGGGTGTTAAATTTTTCAAACCATGTCTCTACTCCAAACAATGTTATCAATGAAAGAAGCAGTGGAAGGTATATAAAATGCTGAATGGCATTTGCTGACAAAATTTTTTGTATTAATTCATATCTTCCTGTCTCTATAGGAATACAAAAAGCTTGTATCTCTCATCTCGTGGAACTAATACGTCACGTCAATCTTATAACATAGGAACAGGAGAAAAGAAACTAGGAGGATTCCATATAGCTAATCCACAATCGATACAATTCACCAGTCCTCGACCTATGAATACAAGATCTACTCTTCATGAATCTTCGAATGCAAGATTCAGTCTTCGTCCATCTTTAGCTAAAGGATCTAATTACACTTTTAGAACCTAAATATCATTTATAATATTTGATATTATAATTACAATAATTTATATTAAGTATTGCTAATCTAGGTACTTGGTTATTCAAATATTTGATGAATAAGTTACGGAAAATAACTATGAGATAAGTAGATTATTCCATAAGTAAAATTAAATAATATTTGAAAAAAGGGCAAAACCGGTTTCTTTAGACTTTAACAATAATAAGTTGTAAATGTCGTTAATGAGCTCTTACATCATTAATTTGTAATTCTTCTGAGTATATAAATAAAATAAAATCAATAATATAAATTCGCATTTCCATTTTTTGGCAACACTTCCATTAATTTCCCTTCATTTCTAGGGACAATTCTAGGTACAAAATCTAGTACAAAAATATACCTAAACAATCCCGTAAAAGTCGGGGCAGAATTTCGTACGTACCAAAGATTCCTCGTGCCACCTCTTCGTAGATCATGTTCTCCTAATACCAAAATGAATGTTCCATTTTGGTCTGTCGGACCGGTTGCCTGTCCGTAGGCGCAAACGTGCCACCTCTTCGGATATCATGTGCTCCTGATACCAAAATGAATGTTCCATTTTGGTATTAGGAGAACATGATATGCGAAGAGGTGGCACGTTTGCGCCTACGCGCAGGCAACCGGTCCGACATGTCTGTAAGTATAGGTTGCCTAATTCAAGGCGCTCATTTTCGGAAAGTACGGGAATTCTGGTCGCTTTTGCATTTTGGTATCAGGAGCACATGATATCCGAAGAGGTGGCACGTTTGCGCCTACGGACAGGCAACCGGTCCGACAGATCTGTCAGTACAGGTTGCCTAATTCAAGGGGCCCATTTTCGGTACATTTCGGAATTCTGGCCAATTTTGCAAAGTCAACAATGTTGCAAATCGCTCCTCTAGAAACTTCAACAATGTTGCAAACGCAACAATGTTGCAAATCGCTCCTCGCGAAACTTCAACAATGTTGCAAACGCAACAATGTTGCAAATCGCTCGTCTCCAAACTTCAACAATGTTGCAAATCGCTCCTCTCAAAATTATGATGGGAAATGTCGAATTTTTACTCCTGGTATCAGGAGAACATGATATGCGAGGAGGTGGCACGAGGAAACTTTGGTATGTATCAAATTCTGGCTGGATCTTTACTCCTGGTATCAGGAGAACATGATAGGCGAAGAGGTGACATAACTTCTAATTGGATATCGATACTTACCTCTTGTATCAGAAGAACGTGATGACGGAAGAGGTATCATAGTTTTTAATTCTGGTTCAAAACTTACCTTTTGTATCAGGAGAACGTGATGAGCGAGGAGGTATCATAGTTTTTAATTCTGGCTCGAAACTTACCTTTTGTATCAGGAGAACATGATATGTGATGGAATGTCATAATTTAATTGAATATCGATACTCACCTTTTGTATCAGGAGAACGTGATGTGCGAGGAGGTATCATAGTTTTTAATTCTGGCTCGAAATTTATCTGTTGTATCAGGAGAACATGGTATGCGAAGAGGTGGCACGAGGAATTTCTGGTACGTATTAAATAATGTGTTTGTCAGAAAATTCTCAATGATCAACGATGAGTTGTGTTCACTGTATGCACCCATTGTTTTAGAATGGTAAATACGGTTTAGTATAAATGATATCGGACTCTGTAAGGAAAATAATAATATAATATAGTAAATATATTTAATATATTACGTGTTTGTTTTTGTATTTTATATCTAGACACTGAAGAGAATGAATAACTGGAATTTTATATCTTACACTAATACAGTTTCTAAAGTGTGATTGTATGTTGGTATATAGTTACATAATGCTCTAGTGACTCTAAAGAGAAAGGAGCTGGTGACTTTCCCCTCGCACGGCAAGAATCCGTGATTATGTGAACGTGTGTGATCAACGCTTGTTTGTGCACGTTTTGAAAGCAGCCTTCTGTCATGCAATTAATTACAAACTAATGTTTCAATTGTCACTTGCGCTGACAAGTTTCCATAATAATCTCATGTGTAACATGAAGAGGAACGACATCGATTTCCGGTTGGATTTTCACATGATTCTCATGTCATTCATCGAAAGTAGAAATTGTAAAGAAAACGCAGGCTAAGAATGAATTCGTACTCCAAAGAACGGAATGGCACTTCACGATAATTATTCGTCGAATAGTTGCTGATTAAATTATGTGAATCACGTGAATGATGTAAATACTGACGACTTTAACATTCGCTTATGAAGAATTGGCGAAAATTTTGGGTTCAAGTGGAATCAAGATTTATATCTGTTGTACAGTGTTGCATAAAGATTAAATATGTTTAAACGAGGAGAAAATAACAGAGAAAATGAGGACCACGTGCCTGCCAAGCGACCAAAGTATGATTCGAAGATGGGCACTACAGTGTCTACTTCCACGAATGCTAGAGAATCGATGAATAAAAAGTTGGGGAAAACCGATGATGTGTGGGGCGATGATTTTGCAGAGGAGGATATAGAAGAGATGGATTTTATTGCTACTCAAGCATGTTTACAAGTATTGTTTGTTTTGATTGTTTAGGGAAACAATAGGTAGTTAATAGGTGACTATTTTGACTATTTATTATGCTTATATTTCTTTTTAGGAAGATATTACTTTGTCTCAACCACGTGTAGAGCAAAGGGCATTGTCTATGCAGAGATCTTATAGCGAACCATCCACCAGTAAAGGTGTTTATAATATAAAGAATTCTATTAACCAAATACCGAGACCTTCTGTATATATGTCGCAGTACAATAATCAGAGAAAGGAAGCCGATAACATAGTTGACATTAGTAATATAGTTTCTGCAGACTATAAAGATTTTGAACATAAACTAATCAATAAACAAGTGTACAATTCAACATTTAAGTTGGATGAAAATTTTGTTGTTCCAGGTAATGTTTCAGGACTCTATAAGGCAAAATTATAATTCATTTTAGTAATTTCTGTTTATTAATGCGATACATAATTACAGAGTCACAATACATGGTAGAATTGAAGAAATTGAAACATGAGAATGAAAAGCTATTAAATAATTTTATAACTAAAGAGGGAGAAGCTGTTTTCTTACGTAACCAATTACAACAAACTCAGTTGCGCGCAGAGAACGATCGATTGGAAAAGACCCGTTTTATCGAAGAGCAAGAAAATCGGCATAGAACAGAAATGAATACTATTTGTAAAGCAAAGGAGCATTTAAAAACTCAACTTGAATTACAAGTTGGTAGTTCTTGAACAAACATTGTATTTGATGTTTCTAGGTTTCGCGTAGAACTGGAAATCCTAATGTTTTCTTCTCTTCTTTTTTTGTACTATAGACGTTCGAAGTTGGAAATTTATTGGAACGCTGCAAATTGTTAGAGAGCGGAGGTATTAAATTGACAGAGCCGCATACCATAAATTTAATAAATAACGTTTCTATGAATAAAAGTAGATTCAATTCGCCGATGAAACGGTACGTTTTTGAAATAACGCTCGAGCAAAAATCACTCTAGAATTTTTAATGTATTTGCATTACTATTTGTAGGTCGTCGATTTCAAACGCAAAGCAAACAAAAGTAAAAGAAATTTG